TCTAAAAGTGTTCCCTTACAAAAAAAAAAAAAAAAAGGGGGGTTAGCTCGCAATCTTTGCGAGGGAACGCAAAGTAGTTTTTTTTCTTCCATGTCACCTTAAGGGTGCCTTAGTTTTACAATTATTTGCCAGCATTGATTTGCATAATCCCTCACAAAATTTAACCACGACAACAATGATAGAGTGTACATTGTACAGAACTATCTTTGAATATACTGAAATTTATCATGATCTACTCTTTAACAATAACTTCAAAATGAAGAGGCTTGACCCCTGAGAGGAAGTCTGTCTGCTTCAGAGTGTCATGTTTTATATGTGAAGGAGGGGGCAAAAACAAAACGGCTGACAAATGCATTCACTCGGCAGTGTTCAGCATAGAGCATATTACGCCGCAAATGTTCTAAAAAGAATGATGAGCATCATTCTGAGAGAAAATTGTATTTTCTGTTTATAATAGTCTTTAGTGCTCATGTTTAACCATAAAAAGAATCCAATTTCGTCCCATGGTGTTATTTTGCTTCCTAATACAAATATGAAAGAGCTGACTTTAAATCTGAAAACAGTGGAGCGGGTGTAAAAATCCCTAAACCCTCTTAAGTCCTTTGATTTGTGGGTTGAAAATCTCCTCCAAGCATTCCTGCTTTGTGAGCCTTTTGCTGATATGGAGTTAAAACTGTCCTGCTAAGGTCTGGCATTTGTAGGCTATAGAAGCTGTTGACTTGCACTGAGGGGAAAGAGCACGGTAGAGATTATGGGCAATTAAAGCCCACTTCATGCCGGTCTGCTGGCGTCACAAAGTCTGGCTGAGAACGCTCACCTCCGCTAATACTATCAATGCGAACAAACACTGCGGCATCAACTTATTATGTACAGTGAATTATTAATACCAGAGCACGCGCATTCCGGCTCGGCTAGCTTGATAAAGGGGCACAAACAACATGGTTACCTACTGAAGAGCATAAGAGTACATGCTTTGTTAAAACAGATGGAAATACTTCACCCTGTTCCACAGGTTAAATGTGAAAAGTCGACATCACGTAGATTTCATGAAAACTCCAATACTATCGAGTATTCAATGTGTTCATTGCGTGCGATTGGTAAGAAAGAGTACAAAAAAGGAGTGCACTGTTCTCCATTGAAGCAAGACTTTACACCATGAACATGAAGATATTTTGCTTGCGTGACCTCTGTTCACATGTTTCAACCCCCGCAGAGAAACACTCCAAAACAACAGCGTCATGCAGCAATACAATCTTTCAAAATATGGCAGACACGGTGGTGCTGAAACCTCAAAACGTGGAATGAATTTGGAATTCAAACAAATCTGTCGGGAAAAGTACACTTTTTAAGTCACACGAAAACTTGCAAGTGGAATGGTGATCATGCATGACGTTCGCAAATTGAGCAAAATTCAGCTATTTTCATGAGACTTAGTTTTGAGGATTGACTCCTGTGGTGTTTCACGTTGTCTTGTCTGGCATTTTCCTCAAGTTCAACACTCTTCTTAGATGCCATAAACCCCTTTGCTTTATTTAACACATGTGCAAGTAAACCACAAAAACAATTACCCGTACTTCTTTTTGTGGTGCCTCTGCAGGTGTCGAACAAAGTTCGACGCGGTGCCGTTTGTGTCTGAAATCATCTTCTTACAGCATCTGCAGGTTGCTTCATGTTTTCTTCCAAAGATGATGTGGCTAGCACCAGTTCTCGATGGTTGATAAAACCAGTTGCATAACCCTGCTGTGGGCTAACATGACTGAAAGAAAAAGCCTTTGGCGTTTGCAGTCAGGTTGAACAATCAAATGGATACTTTAATCATCCGAAAAACTTTCTTTTGAGGGGAGAAAGTTAAATTTCAGAAAAAAATATCTATAGTTGGACTCGGTCAAGTTTATAAAAATTTTTTGCCCGTCCAACTGCACAGTGTGAGTCAAATGCCAAAGGGTCCGAGCCAAGATCGAGACAACAAACGTGCCGAGTCAAGACTCGAGTACTACAGCCCTGCTTCTGCACCATGTTTAATTCAAGTAAAGAAATAAGTCCAAAGTCGCTGATGGTGTACCTGTACACCCACCTGACTTGTGTGCAGGAAATGTGGGATCAGTTCCCGCTACGTGACGGTGTGGATGTATGTGTGTATGGTTGTTCGCCTCTTTATGTACCCTGCGACTGACTGGCGACCAATTCAGAGACTAATCTGCCTTTAGCCTGAAGTCATCTGGGATAGGCTCCAGCACCTCCGCGACCCTTGTGAGGATACGCGCATTTGAAAATCGATGGATGAATGGATAAATAAGTCCAGTTGCTACAAATTAGAATGTATGACATTTTGTACAAAAGCTGACTAAATTCCCATGAAAAAAGTGTGGGTGTTTTGCATGGGTATACGGTGTGTTTCGCTTTGTTAGCCATCAGAAGTCCCCCCAGCAAACTGCAGACAAAGTGTCATACATTGACAAGTTGGAGGCAAAGGTTTTTTTGGGGGGCGGGGGGGGCACACTTTGAAAAGAGCTCGAGTATTTTCACGCGATCTCGTGCAATGCTGCTGCTGCTTGTCAACCAAGTCGGCTGAGGTCAGCGTAGTTCAGTGAATGCGAGTGTTTTCATGTAAAGAGCTGTGAAAGGCCCATGAGGAGATTCATCCTCCTGTCTGTCTCGCTGCCTCCAGTGGAATTAAGTGGGTCAAACTGTCTCCACTTTCATTGACTGTACGAGTCAAAGAGCAGCAGAGCCGAGAGCCATTACAATCACACTCGATTGACTAATGGCTGGTATAAAAGAGTAATTAGACATGCGAGTAAAGGAAATCGGGAACTCCAAAAAGGACAAAATGGAATCAGTCCCGGTTGCCAACTTGACTTAATGTTCAACTCGCTTTCAAACTAAGGTTTCTAGAAAAATATTCTTTCCTCTTCAAGCAGTTTTCAATTCAGTCTTACTGTCGTGTTAAAGAGGACTTGGCGTTTTCGCTTAGCAGATGGTAATCCACCGTGTCCAGCATCAGGAGCCGCAAAAGATTGGTCATCAAAACAAGAGAAACACGCTCAATTTGCTCCCGCCGTGTCCCGGAGCACATGCTGATGATATGATTTTGTGTGATGAAACATGGAGCGCAGTTGAGAAGCCGATGTTGCGAGCTGTGGCGGCACGGAGGGGTCGTGACTGCGGAGCTAGCCGGCAGGCCATGAAAAGCAAAGGGCACGCCAGACTGGATGAGGATCAGGAGAAGAAGAGAAAACGAGAGGAGGGAGCAAAGTGAGAGGAGCCTCTGGGTCTGTGGGGCCCCCCTGTGCAGGCGGTGCTGGCCAGGGGAGTAACATCACTCACATGGCCCAATGTACACACAGAAGACTGATCTAATGTGGGCTTTTGGCACACACAAGCACACCTAACACAATAACAGATCCGAACCTGCAAATTAAAAAGTTCTGATTTGAAGCACAGATCAGAAAGCTTTTCTTGAATTGTTTCCTATTTTTATTGTTGTTGTTGTTAGCATTTTCCAGTTAAAAAAAAAGTATTTTTCCCGGAGTAAAATTTGCGATGATATATTTGAGGCACATTTCAAGAAAGGAGTAGAAAAAAAAAGACAAGAGGGCTACATTGGTTCTCTTCATGGTTTGACCGCGCAGGAGAAGACAGGTGGAAGACTCAGTTGTTCAGCGCAGGGCTCAAGTTACCGATGTCTGCTCCGCGTGCTAGTTTGAAGAGCAACATTACCGCTGTGATCCTCTGTCAAAGGCTAAGTCTAACCTGAGGGACGGAGGGGGAGAAGAGAAAGAGACTCAAGTTAAAGGTCACAGCCGCTGACTCCATTGAGGGAAATAAAAAGCTCAAATGTCTTGCCATTTGCACTTAAAGGGTAAAGACGTCCGTCAGCACTTATTTCAATCTTTCAGATGATCAAACGATGAAACACTTATCCAATGTAGTCCTAGTAAACGGATTTGGCTTGAATACTGGAAGTATAGTCACATCCACTAGTTGAATTTCTCAACATCTGATTATTTCAGGGTACCATAAAAAAGACATTTATTCAAGTGCACACACTGCTTTGCGTCATAAAATAATTAAGTATTCGTTACTAAGCAGGAACACACTTAAAATATACAAGCTCATACTTAGCAGTATGCTAACAGCCATCAGAACAGTGCAATGATTCTAATTTGCAGTGGTGCAACTGCACACTCCAAAAAGACATTTGCGTAGTACTCTTTGTGACCTTGTTTCGCAACACATAAGTCAAAATGTTGAAATAGTAGACACATCTCTCAGTTGTGACTGTCAATTCTGAAAAGAAAGAATGTAGTTGTTCCACTGGATCTCATTAGATATGCGCAAGTGCAGTCCTCAGATTGCATGATTATACGGTGACACATGCAAGTTTTTGGGTATTCTATAGGCCTCAGGTATCAAACTCAAGGCACTCGATAATTTTATGTGGTTGAAGCTTGACTCCATTTTTTTAAAACTAGCAAGAAAAAAAATAAAAATAAAAAACAAATTGGGGGTGGCAATTATATAATGTCATGGGCCAATTATTCAAGTTCCCAAACTGAACATGCAGCTCATCTTATACATGACAAGCAGAAGTCAATGGCTGGCCATATGCTTTTAAAAAAATGCATCTTCCGGTGGCATTTTAACTGCACTTCAGGAGACAAAGAAATAACAAATGCATGCCAATTGTTTTAACGGCATCATAATACACTGTTCAAGGTGTTGCAGTTGCATTTGTCTGCTGTTCATTTCCTAAAAAGCCAACAATTAAGCTAGTGATGTTTCAGAATGTACAAAATCCAGATTTGTATATTTTCAGTTACAGCTCCAGACATAAACTATAGACATGGACTTCATGAAAATAATTATGAAAACCCGGCTACATCCAAGAAGTAAACTGGGGTGATATAGGACACAGATTCAAACTGTTAAAAGATCACAAGGCTGTCTTGTGGAGACAAGATGCTAGAGGGGTAGAAGCTACAATGTGGATCTTCCTTATTGATTTGCACTCTAATTGACCTAAATAAAGACGCAACAGAGCCAGTCGGGTGCGTAAGGGACGGGCCTTTACAGTAGCAACAGTCACTGGTGCAACGAGACGGTGACTCGTCTTTCCTCGGAAAAGCCCATTTGCTATTGTGCTCGTCCAATCACTGGATGCCCCCCAGCGCTCGCCAAGAGCGCGACTGGACCTTTCACTGTACTGTAGTACTTCCGTCGTCCCGTCCCAGCAGCGACTCGTCGTCCTAGCACAGCGCTAAAGCAGCGATGCTTCACATGCCCGCTCGGACTTTTTGGACGTTGTTTTAACACTAAATGGAGACGGGATTGCTTTGTTAAATATATGTGTATATTTTGCTCGGCGAAATCTGGAAAACATGCAGAAGAAGCTGACGGACACCCATAGTCCTCGATTGTCATCATCGAGGGCGTCGTCTTTTTTCATCGAGAATCTACTGGCGCCGGGGCCACACGAGCGGGATTCCCCTTCCGAAAGCAGCCGATGTGGAGCTGCGTTGCGCACGGACTCCGTCAGCCCGGTCTCACACGCTCGGAGCGGCGTCATGTTTACGCCGGCGCCGGATGGCTGCGGCTCAGCCTCGTCCCTCTCCACGGAGCCGCTGGTAAACTGGTACGCCGGGAACACGGGCTTGCTCTCCAGAGCTTTGGATGCACCGGGCAGTGAGTATTGCAAAAATCACAGGTTGCAGAATGCAGGTTGTAACAAATCATGTAATTACCTTTCAAGGATAAACGTGAAAGTTGCGCAATATCCGATTGACTTGAATATAGTTTTGACATCCCCCACGACCCCCCCCCCCCCCCCCCCCCG